GGAACTGAGGAAACAGGTATGACCATCTCGAGCAGCTGAAGCTCCAATGTGGTGGAATTCCCCAATTTGCGAAAGTTAGGCCATCATTGAAAATGGCCTAAAATGCCCCAACATGGCCCTGGTGTGTTTTCTAGGTCATTTTCACATGATGGCCTAACTTTCGCAAATTGGGTTTTCTAGGCCACCACTTCAAAATGGCCTAAAATGCCCCAACATGGCCCTGGTGTGTTTTCTAGGTCATTTTGAAGTGGTGGCCTAACTTTCGCAAATTTGGATTTCTAGGCCACCACTTCAAAATGGCCTAAAATGCCCCAACATGGCCCTGGTGTGTTTTCTATGCTATTTTGAAGTGGTGGCCTAACTTTTGCAAGTTGGGTTTTCAAGGCCAACACCTAATTTAAGGCGTTTTTAGGTTATTTTCAGCATATGTTTGACCTAATTAGCTATTTGTACCTTTTTGAGTCTCTTTCTCTCCGCTTCATCAATCTCCTCATCAATCGGCTCCTCCTTGATTTCTTGTTTAATTTCAACCATATTTTCAGCCTCCTCCTCCTCCTCTCGTTGTCTCTGCTCTCTTCTAAGACGTTTTCTCTCCTTTTTCTCGGCCTTTCTTTTGGCTTTCTCCTCGTCCGATTCCTCCGAAATCTCCTCTTTTATCTCGGTTTTTATCTCGATTTCCTCGATGATTTCGGTCTGGAAATTTGGGAATGTTGAGTCAATTTTCATGATTTTTGAGTCAGAAAAATATTGATTTTCAGCCTCATTTTACAATTTTCAAGCTAAAAATTATGGGTTTTTGTCTCGTAAAATATAATTTTTAGAGTAAGAAAATCCCCGATTTTTAGCTGATTTTCAAGTCAATTTTCTATAATTTTAAAGCTAATTTCCTATAATTTTAGGTCTATTTTCCATGATTTTAGGCCGATTTTCCATGATTTTAGGCCCATTTTTCATGGTTTTTTGGTCTATTTTTCATGATTTTAGGCGGATTTTTCATGATTTTAGGCCAATTTTTCATGATTTTAGGCCAATTTTTAAAGACTTTAGGCCGATTTTTCATGGTTTTTTGATCAATTTTTCATGATTTTAGGCTCACTTCTCATGATTTTAGGCCGATTTTTCATGGTTTTTTGATCAATTTTTCATGATTTTAGGCTCACTTCTCATGATTTTAGGCCGATTTTTCATGATTTTCACGCTAAATTACCTTAATTTCCTTAGCCGCTGCCTCTCGTTTAGCCTTCAGCGCAGCCATTTTTGCGGCGAAATAATCGCCAACCGACAGCGTGCTGACTGTATTGTTTCCCTCTTTTTTCTCGTTTTCAGAATCCGTCGATTTCTCAGTTTGCACTTGTGGAGCAGCATTTTCGACGACGTCTTCTGTAGTCGTCGACGTGGCATCGGATTTGAGACGTCCGTAGCCGAGAATTCCCTTCTTGTGACTGTCGCTGTAGTTGGTCGTGTCCTTGGCACGTGTGAATTTTTGATAGCTGCAAAATGTGGGAATTTTGGAATGTTTAGGCTAATTTCAAGCTGAAATTTCAGATTTTCAGCCACTTTTATCAAAATTTCAGTTTTTTTTTCAGACTTGCAGCCAATCTTTCAGCCAAAATGTCTAGGATTTCCCGATATTAGCTTCAGATTTTCAGCCAAATTTCCAGATTTCCAGTCGAAAATTTTGAATTTTGGGCCGAAATGTTAAGATCTTCAGCTAATTTTTCCAGATTTTCAGCCAACGTTTCCAGATTTTCAGCTATTTTTTTTCAGATTTCCAGCCTAATTTTCAAATTTTAGCCAAAAATTTGGTATTTTCAGCCAATTTCTTTCAGGTTTTTGAGCAAAAATGTTCAAATTTCACATTTTCAGCCAAATTTTTTAAATTTTCAAAATTTCAGTCATTTCGGTCATTTTTCTTAAATTTTCGGCCGACAAAGTTAAGATTTTCAGCTAAATTTTTCATGATTTTCAGCCAATTTTTCAAGATTTTCAGCTAAATTTTTCAGATTTTCAGCCAAATTTCCCCTCTCGAAAACTCACTGAATTCGTCTACGAATCGATTTGCTCTTCAATTCGATCGAGATCTTTTCAGCCGCCTTCTCCCTCTCCTCTTCCGTCTGATCCTCGGTTTTCTCCTCCTTATTCTTGTTCAACGCCGCCAGCAGATCCGCGAAATCGTCGTGATGCGAAATCCACGTGGAATCGTAGTCAGCCATCTTGTCGGCTCCTAGTCCACGGCCACTGGTGTTGGCTCGAAGCTTCACAGCGTCTTGGTTGCCTTGACGATTACGACCAAGGCCGTCGCCTTCGGACCATCCCATCTTTTCCATTAACTTCTTGGAGAATCTGGAAATTTCGATTTTGAGTCAATTTTCATGATTTTTGGGTCAAAATTCATGATTTTTGAGTCAAAATTCATGATTTTTGAGTCAATTTTCATGATTTTCGGATCCTTTTTCATGATTTTTGGGTCAAAATTCATAATCTTTGGGTCAAAATTCATGATTTTTAGGTCATATTTCATGATTTTTGGGTCAAAATTCACAATTTTTTTGAGTCAATTTTTTTGATTTTCGGGTCAATTTTTAAAGGTGGGGGGACATGAGATTTTTCGTAGTTTTTTTGTAGCTAGAGTATGCATTCTACCGTCACGGTGTACAACGCTTAATGTCACTGCGTACAGCTGTCGTCCTCGCCTTTATGTATGCAATCGGGCGTGCGCTTTCTCTTTACCCGCATGGCTCAGTCGGTAGCGGCGCCGCACCCTCAATCAACGCCCTCACAAGTTCAACTCCTCGAGGGGCATATTTAAACGGAATTTCGAGATTTATTTTTTTCATGTCCCCCCACCTTTAAGACGAATTTTTGCTGATATTCAGCCATTTTTATGCTTTTCGCCTGATTTTAAGCCGGTCATAAGCCGCTTCTATCAGATGTGTTCTATTATAAAAAACTGAAATTTTTAGGAAAAAATACGGGGAAAAGCCAGAAATCAGAAGAAACCGACCGGAAATTCCAGATTTCTTCAAAAGTAAAAATTTAAGACCGCAATTTCGATTTTCAGCACATTTTACAAATTTTCAGGTGAAAATTCAAGTTTTTCGGATTTTCGAAATTGATTTTTAGACTCAAAATCACTCGATTTTTACTTATTTTCAGCTGATTTTCTGCCATTATTTTTAATTTCTGAAAGATTTTCAAACTTGAAAATCCCGATTTTTGGCTCATTTTCAGACGATTTTCAGCCAAAAAACTCACTTTTGATCATCATTTTTCCATGTCAAATTCTGTGGATCCACACTGATTTTTTGTTTTCTTTTCGGCTCTGCCAAAATCGACATTTTTCAATTGTTGAAGCGTCGATGAACCCTGAAAATATTTGGAAATTTGGCTGAAAATCTGGAAAAAATATACGGAATTTAGAGAAAACAGCGGTATAAAAAGTGCAAAAAACACAGGGAAAAAATCAGAAAAGAGCTAGAAAAACCAATTTATTTTTGTCACAAAAAATGGAACGAAATGGGTGAAAATATGAGAAAAAAATCAATAAATTACAGGGGGAAAACACCAGATCAGTAGAGAAAATTGTGTAAATTATGAGATTGATTCAGAGTTTTAAATAATAATATTATTGGATGAAAAATGGTGATTTTTGAGAGGAAAATTCAGAATTTTTGGCTCAAAAACCCACATTTTTAGTCATTTTTAAGCTGAAAATCAGAATTATCCGCTCAAAAACTACAAAAAATGCCAAAATTACGCCCCAACCAGGTCCAAAATCCAGACTTCTGAAAATCCGACCATTTTCATGGGCGGTCCCTGGTATAATGAGCCGGCGGTGACCATTAGCTGTCCGCCGAATGGAATTTCGTACAGTCCCCAGAGATACGGTAGCGAGAACCAAACCACGGGGAGGACGACATAAAATTGGCCGGCGTGCGTGTGTCCCGATAGGATTAAGTCCACTTTTGAGAGCTGAAAATTTGATATTTTCTATATTTTTTTAATGTCTAAAAAGCATGGAAATTGGCTTTAAAAACATTAGGATAGGCCAAAAATTATAGTAAAATGGCTCAAAAATCAAAAAAAAATTGACTTGAAAATCATGAAAAATAGACCTTTTTGAGTCCATTTTTAAGGATTTTTGAGTCCATTTTCATGATTTTTGGGTCATTTTTCATGATTTCGGGGTCAATTTTCATGACATCGGTACAATTTTCCATGAATTTCGGGTCAATTTTTGAGATTTTTAGGTCAATTTGCATGATTTTAAAGTCATTTTTCATGATTTTTGAGTTATTTTTCATGAGTTTAAAGTCAAAATTTAAAGGAGGCCAGACACCAAAAAAAAAGTTTTCCTGGTATTTTGCATAGATGACCCCCCATGAGGGGTTGAACTCATGACAGGCAGCTCAGGGGTACAGAGCTACGGGGGCGCGAAGGCGCCTGACGACCGATGGTCTATATAAAGGCGGCGCGATTTCGTCCCCCGAAATTTTTGCTGTCTCGCCTCCTTTAAGATTTAGTTTTGGACGTTTTTAATGATTTTTTGAGCCAATTTATATATATATATTTTTTTTTTGAGTTCAATTTCATGATTTTCTGTCAAAAATATGAATTTTGACTCGAAAAATTTGAAGAATTGTTCTGAAATTATAGGAAATTGACTGCAAAATTATGGTTTTCATGATTTTTGGGTCATTTTTCCCAATTTTTGAGTCATTTTTCATGATTTTTGGGTCAATTTTTATGATTTTTCGGTTATTTTTCATGATTTCGGGGTCAATTTTCAAAATTTTTGGACCACTTTTCATAATTTTTTACTCAATTTTAATGATATTTGAGCCAATTTCGATGATTTTAGGACAATTCTTTTTTTTTTTTTTGAGTTAGTTTTCATGATTTTAAGGTCAATTTTCATGATTTTTGAGTTATTTTTCATAATTTTGGGTCATTTTTCATGATTTTGGGTCATTTTTCAAGGACTTCGGACTACTTTTCATGAATTTTGATCCAATTTCCATGACTTTTGGGTAATTTTTTTATGATTTTTGCGTCGATTTGGTGATTTTTATGTCTATTTTCTATAATTTTAGGTTTATTTTTCCGGATTTTCAGTCATTTTTCGCCGCAAACCTCTTGTGGATGATCCACGAGAAACTCTCTAATCGACGCCGGATTATGTGCCATCAAAATCTGCGACGTATTCTTCGGACAACGTTGCGTCGCCTTCGGAAGGTCCATATCGTGATTCAGAATTCCAGATTTCGGACTGGAAATGTCGTTGACACCGGCCAGACAGATTCCTTTGACCATTGCGGATCTAGAATCAGAAATTCAAGATTTTTAGAACTTTTTAATAGAAAATGACAGAAAAAATGGTCTAAAAGTGCGAAACAATGTGAATTTTCAATTTTTTAAAGACATTTCTCATGAGTTTTGGGTCAATTTTCATGATTTTTGACTCATTTTTCATGAGTTTTGGGTCAATTTTCATGATTTTTGAGTCAGTTTCAATGATTTTAGACGAAAATTAGGTCTAAAAAGACGGGAAAACTGTAATTTTTAGCTCTCCTGGAGCTCATTTTCAGCCAAAACCACTCACTCATTCTCCAGCACCGTAATATGTCCGTGCTCATAGAATCTCAGCCACTCGTGAACGTCTCCATAGTAATATTCGTGGTTTCCAGTGACGAAATAGGTAGGCGCGTGTACTGGCAGTTGTCTGAAAATTTGTAAAAATTGAAAATTGGTCAAGTTTGAGGGATTTTTCAGCCAAAATTCGTATGTTTCAGCTTTTTTAGCTTTTGTTGGCTGATTTCAGCTCTGTTTAGCTTATTTTTAGCTTAATTTTCCAATAATTTCAGTCTTTTTTTTTCCAAAATTTGGTGTCAATTTTGAGGAAGTCCAAGCCTATATTTCTGATTAAAAATTTCATCTCTATCCCAAATTCTAGGTTAGAAAAATCTCAAATTTCAGCCGTTTTTCTCTATAAAAATTCGAATATTATCTCCTTAAAAATTACAAAAATCTGGAAAATTGGCCATTCTTGGGTGATGTTAGGTAGAAAATTCGCGTTTTTCAGCGTTTTTAGCCTAATTTGAAGCCAACTTTCCACTAATTTCAGTTATTGTTTATCAAAAATTGGTCAATTTTGAGGGAATAGTTCAAGCCTTTTTTGTGGTCAAAAAATCCCATTTCTAGCCATTTTCCTATCAGAAAATCCAAATTTTCCCCATAAAAACTACAAAAAACTGGAAATTTTGACATTTTTTGATGATTTCAGGTCCAAAATTCACGATTTCCAGCTCATAAACTCACAAAATCGGCGTAACTCGGTCGGCAATCTCCTCAACGGGCGCGTCAACCATATCTCCAACAATCAAAATCGCGTCGACCGGATTTTCGAGAACCTTCTCGACGACATGATGAATTTGCTCAGAATAGACCGATGCGCCAGCGTGTAGATCCGAAATTACAGCCAATTTCAGGCGATTTCCGTCTGCGGTGAAATTTTTGATTTTGATCGTCTTGTGCTTGACAACAATCCAGTCCCTGGAGAGATACATTGAGACGGAGAGGATCAGAGTGATGATTAGAGTGAATCTGGAACAAAAATTGGGTTCAAAATGGGGAAATTTTTGATTTTAGGTGAAAAAATGTGATTTTTCCTTCTGGAAAATTTAAAATTCCGATCCTCACTTGATCTGAGATCGTCGCTTCCACATGAGATCATGCAAATATGGTACTTTTCCGATCAAATCCAAAATCCGGGCGGTATACGGGAAAAGCTTCATTTTTCCGGCAAACAGGTTTACTAGGCCAAATCCACAGACGAACGCAATCATATTGGTCCAAATACCGGCGCATATCGATGTGAGATCAAACAGGAGCCACTGGAAATACATTTTTTTTTGCGAAAAATTGAACTTTTAATTAAAAATCTCACTTGCAAAAATCCAGGAGCGTAGTACATGAAATAGACGGCTTGGCCGAGGAATAGGAATACCAGTAGGAAATCTGAGCATCGTTTTCGGAAGAACTGAAACTTTTTTTTCCATTATTTCCAGTCAAAATCTGTTGCTTTTGATTACTAATTATTTTTAACACTGAAAATCCCTTCATTTTCAGCTCAAATATCGCTCTTTAGTCTCAAAAACCCGAAAAATTCCCCAAAAATTAATAGAAACAACGACACTCCGCATATCCCGCTGGCGTGCGCGCGTTGTTTAGCGCCGATGGCTCCGCCCACTTTTGGGTCTCACCACGAACGGCGCGTCTTCAAATTCTTGTTTTTCCCTTATGCTTCGAATTCTTCGCGCATTTTTTCCGATTTTTTGGCGGTAGTTTGAATTTTGAACCTGATTTCGGATGGAAATCTTCGAATAAATAAGAAAAACCAATAATTTTCACAGTTTTCAACTAGAAATTCTTGCCATTTTATCGATTTTTCCGGGTCACAAGACTTTTTTTTAATTTTCGATTTTTGAATTGTTCAGTTGCTTGGCGGATTTAAAGGCGATAGGAACTCAAACGAAGCAGAATGAATCAGGTGTGATAATCGGAAAAATCGAATTTTTCAAAAAAAAAATAAGTTTTTCCAGTACCAATACGACTCTCGTCGTCCGCACACCTCCTCATCCGGTCCCAAAAGATATATGGCCACAGGCCTGCCACGTGGCAATCTGTTCCAAGACGACGGATACGGAGATCAACAGTGGGACGATATGCCATCAGCTCCGAGCGGTGGTGGAGGTGGGGGATCGACGGAGAAGCCAACAGGACTGCGGCATTTTTCAACAAAAGTTTGCGAAAAAGTCAAAGAGAAAGGCCTAACAAACTATAATGAAGTGGCTGACGAGCTGGTTGCCGACTATTTTCATAGTAACGTGTTGAAGCATGTTGACGTGGTGGTGAGTCCCCAGAATTGTCGGCTAGAAACTACCTAAAATTTCCAATTTCTCTCAGAAACAAGAATACGACATGAAAACATTCGTCGGCGTGTCTACGACGCTCTCAACGTCCTTCTGGCGATGAACATTATCACAAAGAACAAAAAAGACATTCGTTGGATCGGTCTTCCAGCGTCGGCGTCCCAGGAAATAGCGCGGTTGGAGGAGGAAAAAACGCGGCGCGAGGCGTCGATTCGAGCGAAAAAGGACGCGTTGCAGGAGATGGTCATGCAAATTGTGTCGTACAAAAATTTGGTGGAAAGGAATCGACGGAATGAGCAGTGAGTTGGTAAAAAAAATTATGAAAATTGACCCGAAATTCATGGAAATAGGCTTAATATTGAGCTAAATATGGCTAAAAATAGCTAAAAATAGCTGAAACTAAAGTGAAATCAGGCTGATTTGTTAAAAATTAAGCTAGCTTATTATTTGTATTTCTGAGGAATTTTCACCGGAAATCTAAATTTTTTTCTGAAGTTTTTGACGGTTTTCAAACTTTTCCATCATCTGAAAATCGTGTAACTTTCTTCTTAAAACTAGAATTTTAGCTCAATTTTTAGCTGATTTCAGCTTTATTTAGCTCAATATTAACCTTCTTTTTAGCATTTTTAAAGGCAATTTCTATCAAATTTCGGCCTTATTTAGATCAATTCATGTCCAATTTCAGCCTTAATTATCATAATTTTAAGCTTAATTTCAGCCTTTTTTAGCTCAATTTTAAGATAATTTTTGTCTTATTTAGCTCAATTTTTAGCCAATTTATAGCTAATTTCAGCCTGATTTAGCTAAATTTTGAGCTTAATATTAGCTATTTTCAGCGTTTTTGAACTGAATTTTCAGCTATTTTCAGCCTTATTTAGCTCAATTTTGAGCCTAATTCCAGCTTTTTTAGCTCAATTTTGAGCGAATTCCAAAAAAATCACCCAAAGAATCGAATTTTCAGCAGAAACGGACGCCCCGAACAAGACACCCTACTCCATCTGCCATTTTTGATAATCAACACTGATAAAGAGTAAGTTTTTCAGCATTTTTCAGCCAAAAACTCGAAATTGCAGAACAAACGTCGAATGCAGTGTCTCCTCGGACAAATCCGAATTCCTGTTCTCTTTCGACAAAAAATTCGAGATTCACGACGATTTCGAGGTGTTGAAAAGTGAGTTTCATCTTGAATTCGCGGCAAAAAAAAGTGATTTTCCTCTAGAAATGAAGCTGGCGTGCGGATTGGACACTGGAAATCCGACTGATGAGGAGCTGATAACCGCGAAAAGCTTCTTGCCAAGCTTACATCAGGCCTACGTCGATGAGATTGTTACCAGTGAGTTTTTGAAGCGATTTTCCGCAAGATTTAAAGCCAACATTCTCAAATTCTAGCCTACAAAGAGCGCGAAGCCGAGCGTGAGGAGAAGGAGAAGCAAATGCTGCTTCTGGCTCAACGACAGCAACAAATAGCACAAATGCAGTATTACGATCCAGAGACAGGATCGATGGGAAATCGCTATAATCGTCAACTTCAAGAGCATTTGATAGCCGATGAGGATAGAAATGGTAGGAATTTTAAATGGAAATTAGCTGTGAAGTAGGGAAATTTTGATCCGAAACGTCTCAAAATCAGCTTTAAATTAGGCCATAAATAGGCTGAAAATGACCCACAAAAGCTTCAAATTAGGTCAAAATAGGCTGAAAAAGATCTACAAACGCTTAAAATTGAGTCTGAAATAGGCTCAAATTGCCCAAAACAGCTCTAAATTAGGTAAAAATATAGTGGAAATGACCCACAATAGCTTCAAATTAGGTCAAAAATAGTCTCAAAATGGCCTACAAAAGCTTTAAATTTGGTCAGAAATAAGCTGAAAATGACCCACAAAAGCTTCAAATTAGGCCGCACTGGGCTGAAAAATTAACCCAAAATCTTTTTCCAGCCGCAGCTGGAATCATGGAGCGCGACGAGGATCTCGTCGTACCAATGGAACGAAACGCGGTTCGCGGTGGTCCAATGTACAATTCCAGCGGATATTCACCGCAAAAAACGACGGCGATGCGCGTCATTCAACAGCAACCGTCAGCCACTCGGAGATATTATGTTCAGAAGGGAACAGGCGCTCCAGGACCAATGGGGGTAAGAAATCGAGGACTTTTGAGTCGAAAATCGGAAAAACGATGGATTGTCGATCAGAAAATGATAATAATTGAGACTTTCGGAATATTTGTCAGCCAAAAATAGTCTGAAACTGAAATTTTTGTTATAGGAAAATGCTCAAAATTTTCAGAATCGGCTATAAAAATTTTTAAATTCGGAATACCGTTAAAACCTGAAATAGCAGGGGCCTCTAACTTTCGATTTTGAGCCATTTTTTACATGGGGCCCTTCTATTACAGGTTTTACGGTATCTGAAAAAAAAATTGGCTGAAATGTTTTGGAAAATCTGAAAATTCGTGATTTTCAGCGCGAAATGAGTCCAGCGATTCGAACTATGAGTCGTCCCTACACGTCTACAATTCCACAACAACGGATGGCTGCAGGTGGTGGTACTGTAGGTGCGGGCGGTGGTCCAGTCAAGTACTATGTACCCCAGCCAAGTGGCGTCGGACCAGGACCCTCGTCAAGCTCGATGGCGCCGAGATATGTGAGTTTTGAGTGATTTTTAAGGCTAAAGTCTGAATTTCAAGTAATTTTTGGCAAACTTTGTGAGTTCTTGGTTATTTTTTTGGCAAATTTCTAACAATTCAAGGCTAAAAACTGAACGATTTCTGGAAAAATTAAAGTTCTTAAAATCATGATTTATTTCCAGAAAATCCGTACACCAAGTCAGTCAACACCCGGCCAACGTGTCACCTACTCGGCTGGCGCCGGAGGCTTAAGCTCCGCCCACTTACAGCCAGGACAACGTATCGTAACCCAGCGAATTGTCCAGTCTGGTGGGCCACATCCTCCAAGAACGGTAGTTCGAAAAGTGATTCGGAAGATTGTGGTGAATCCGGGCGGCGGTGCGAAACAGAGTCCAGCGCAACAAGTGATACAAAAGAAGATGATGGAGCAAGGTGAGAGAAAAAATTGGAGGAAAATCAAAATTTCCAGTTTTTTAATACTGAAAATTGGCTGAAAATTGCCAATTTCAGGCGTAAAAAAGGTTTAAAAAGAATAAGAAAAATCTAGAAAAATCAACTGGAAATTCGTCCGAAAATCCTTTTTGGGGAATTTTTAAAACAAAAAATCGACTAGAAACTGTCAGAAACTGTCAATTTTGGCCTAAAAAAGTTGATTTTTTGGGAAAATTTGACTGAAAATTCGTCAAAAATCAAGGTCAGAAATGATCTCGAAAAAACCGTCAATTTTAGCCCAAAACGGTGGTTTTTTTGTTGAGAAAATTCGAGAAAAATCAACTGAGCATTCGTCTGAAAATCCTTTTCAGGTCCATTTTTGGGGTGAACATTCAACATTTTCAGCATTTTAAATCTGGAAAAGTTGATAATTTTAAAATAAAAATAAAAAATTGATAATTTTCGGGGAAAGTTAACTGGAAATTCATCTGAAAATCGTTTTTAGGTCCATTTTGAGACAAAAATCAAAAATCAGCACTTTCTAAACTGAAAATTGACTAGAAACTGCCAGTTTTGACTCAAAAAAGCCCCTTTTTAAGAAAATTCAGGAAAAATTAACTGGAAATTCGTCTTTAAATCCCTGGGTCCATTCTTAGCCTTCAAAACTGAAAATCGGCTGAAAATGGTCACATTTGCTCCGAAAAAGTCGTTTTTTCAATGAAAATTCGTCTGAAAATCGCGGAAAGTCTGAAAATTTTAAATCTCAAAATTCTAAATTTTTTGTTCCAGAAATGCAAGACCGGAAGCCCGATATGCCGATGACGTCTGCGCAAGCGGCGGCGATGATCCAACACGAACCGCCATCCGATTATGACTATTTTTGAGATTTTTAGACTTCAAAAAACTCCTAAAAATACTTTTTTTGCCATTTTTTTTAAATGTTTTTATAATACGTTTTGATGTTTCTATACTCGTTTTTTTGGTGGAAACTTGGAAATTCCTTTCATATGCAAAAAATTCGAATTTCCCGCCAATCACACATGCATTACTGTAATTAATTGTATAATTACAAAGCAATTATATACTATTCCTCCTCTCCTGTCTTCTCTTTTTTGCCCATTTTGAGAAATTCTAAAATTCCCATATTTTCCTTACTTTTTATAAAAAATCCCCCGCGAACTTTTTTTTTGTGATTTTTTCAGATTTTTCAGATTCTTTACCTGCATTTGTCGACGATCCTGAACCTTCTCCCTGGCCGCGTCATCGTCGAACCATCGCATCAGCTGACCGTAGGCGAAGACGTTCAGCACGGTTAGGATGCACTGAAAATTGGAAATTTCAGAATTTTCGAAAAACGAAAATTCCAAAAAAAAGGGTACCTGAATTCTCCACATTGCGATGACGCGACGTCGATTTCCAACGAGGTACCCATCGACGGATTCTACCTGAAAAATGGGATGAATTCAGAATTTTTTCAAAATTAAAAAAAAGAAATTTTTTTGAAAAATCGAAAAAGTCTGAAAAAATTTTTTCGGCTGAAATTTTTTTTTGGAAATTCAAAATTCAAAATTTTTTAAAATTTCTAAAAATTCGAAAAAAAAATTTTTTCAAAAATTTTTTGAAAAAAAAAACATTCTTAATCTGAAAAAATTTTTTTGACTGAAAATTTCAGAATTTTTGTTGGAGTGTCTTAAAATCAAAAATTCTCAAAAAAAAGTTTTTTTCGTTTTTAAATATGAGGAAAATAGTAAAATTGAAAAAAAAACGCGTTTTTAGCCAAAGAAAATTTGGCTGAAATTTTTTGTTGGAGTGTCAAAAAATCAAAAATTCTCAAAAATATATTTTTTGGATTTTTACGATTTTCAAAAAATAATACAAAAAATTGGTTAAAAAAGCCGAAAATCTTCAAGTCTTGACTGAATTTTTTTTCGAAAATCAAAATTTCAAAAAAAAATTTTTCAGAATTTTCAGATTTTTCCAAATTTGACTGAAAATTTCAGCAAAAGCACTCACCCAAAACGCAGTACAATAGCTCAGCACACACCAGGCAATAACCGAGCCGAACACCAGAAACCGTTCAATGCTCATCTGGAACAATTCCGAAGACATCGTTTTCAGAATTTTCAGAAATTTTTTTTTCCGAAAAATTTCAATTTTTTGGAAAATTCTCTATAGGAATATTATGTGTACAAAGAACATGAGAGAGAAAAGAAATTAGATTGCAATCGGCAATCGGCGATTCCAAATTTCGATAAAAATTAGAGAAATTTCTTCAGAAAAAACACCATAGAACACGGACACATTAGCCGCTAATTAGATAGTAATTAAGCACTTAATTAGGCAATTATTTTTGTGAAAATTTGTAAAATAAATAATAAAATAAAGCGAAAAATATCACAGAAAAAAAGACAAAAAAAAATGGCTGAAAATTGAAATTTTTTGAAAAATTAAATAGTTACAAAAAAAGCAGCGATTCCTAGCATAAAATTATGGCATGTTTATATATTTTCAGAGGCTTTTTGGGTCAAAAAACAATCAAAATTGACAAAAAAAAGGGTTAAAATTGCTCATTTTCGGCTCTTTTTGTCCCATAAATCGCTCAAATCGCCGACGTATTGTTGGCGTCGTCGTCAATGGTGTCGGCGTGTTGCTCGAGAGACTGAAGAGCCATTCGCATTGTGGTTCGCATATTTTTCAGACATTGTTGGAGGCGTCTGGAAGAATTTTGGATTTTGAAAATTTCAGATTTTCAGATTTTTGAATTTCCGGATTTTTGAGAATTTCCAATCATTTCAGATTCTTCGCTTACAGAATTTCTGAATTTTGGAATTTCGAAAATTCCAGAAATCCAAAGTTTTAGATTCTCAGATTTCCGAAAAAAAATCCAAAAAACTCGGAAAACTTCCAGATTATTCAAAATCTCCAAAACCTGGAATTTCAGGTTTTTTCCCCATTTTTCACACATTTTCAGATTTCTGAATTTCCAAAAACGATTTTCGGGTTTTTGGGATTTTCAGAATTTTTAGATTTTTGAAGAAAAAAAATTCGAAAAACTTCAGACAACTGCAAAAAACCACAAAATCACAAATTTCAGAATTTTGAAAATTTTGTCGTTTTTCGTTTTTTTTCAGATTTCCGAAAAAAAATTCTAAAAACGCCCTAACATGACCCTGGTGTGTTTTCCAGGTCATTTTAAAGTGGTGGCCTAACTTTTGCAAGTTTGGTTTTCTAGGCCATCACTTCAAAATGGCCTAGAAATGCCCTAAAACTCCAAAAACTCACAAATTATCGAATCGTCCCACCAAACCAGCTCGATAGCTATTAATCTGAACTCGAATCGCCAGCGTGGCATAGCTGGACAATGCCTCTTCTAGTCCAGTCAAATCAATCACAATTTGGGTGACAATAAGTGGAGATGTGTCCTGATTTAGCCGGGAAAAATGGGTTAACAGGGCGTCGAGAGCTGTGGAGACCGTGTGTTGAAGACATTCGACGGCTAGCTGAGGAGCGTAGAGCTCGAGTTCGGCCTGTTGGAGCACAGAGCACAGGATCATCTCTTTGGCGTAGTCCGAAATGTCTGAAAATGGGATTTGCAGGCAAAGAATCGGTCAATTTTAAGCTGAAAATCAGTCATTTTTCAGCTTAAGTGGCCATTTTTGGTCCAGAAAGCCAAGATTTCATTCGAAATGGGTAGTTTTCAGCTAAAGTTTTGGTCCCCCAAATTGGCTCATTTTAAGCCAAAAATCGCCTATTTTCAAGCCAAAATCGGTCATTTTTGAGCTAAAATGGGCGATCGATTTTAAGCTGAAAATCAGTGAATTTTCAGCTATAATTAAATTTTCAAGTGCTAAAAATACCGGTTTTTGGCTTAGAATTGACCGATTTTTGACTAAAAATCGACCATTTCAGTCAAAACAACTGTCGATGTCTAGAGCTGGAATAACTGTAGCTAGATTCTAGATTACTGTAGCTAAGCTAGGTAACATTCTAAACTTGTGAAAATTTTGGATTACTGTAGCTCTCAAAATTCCATGAAAAATGACCGAAAATGGCACAACACGAGAGGAGGCAATGATCACCAGCTAGAACAGGGATTACTGTAGCTAGCACTGGGATTACTGTAGGTATGATAGGGATATCACTGTAATCGATCAATTTTAAGACAAAATAATTGACTATTTTCAAGCTAAAATTGATCATTTTTGAGCCAAAAATCGTACATTTTAACCCAAAATTGGCTATTTTTTGAGCTAAAAATGAGGAAATTTATGGCTGAAATCAGTCGATTTTAAGCCAAAAATTGGTCATTTTTGGGGTCAAAAGCGGTGCGAATTTTCCGCTAAAATGGGCCGTTTTTGAGCCGAAATTTCGATTTTTAGCAGATTTTCAACGCAATTTTGTTGATTTTTGAGCGAAATGTGCATATTATCAGTCTCAATCAGTCTGAATTAATTACCATCATCATCCGGTAGATATTCATAGGTGGCGGATGCAATTAGCGGTTGGAATGCACTGCCCATCATTGCAATACAGTCATTGATCATTTTCGTTCGGAATGCCGATAGTTTGGCTCGCGATTTCTGCAAAATACGATTTTTCTTGCCGTTTTCAAATAGTTCAAAACTATTTTGAAGCTATTTTCAGCTATTTTTAAGTATTTTAAAGCCATTTTAGGCTGTTTTTAGGCTTATTTAAGCCATTTTAAAGCTATTTTTAGCTACTTTTAGGCTATTTTCGGATATTTCAAAACTATCTTAGAGCTATTTCCAGCTATTTTTTAGTCTTTTAAAGCCGTTTTAGGCTGTTTTTAGGCTTTTTTAAGCCATTTTAAAGCCATTTTCAGCTATTCTTAAGCCATTTCAAGTCATTTTTAGCAATTTCTAGGTATTTTTGAGCTAATGTTTGCTATTTTTAGCCATTTTGAAACTATCTCAAAGCTATTTTTAATTATTTTTCGGCTATTTTTTAAAGCTATTTTCAGCTATTTTAAAGCCATTTTTAAGGATATTTTCAGCCAAAATATGGGTTTTATAATTTTCAAAATTCTAGAATTTTCAGAATTCAAGACTTCCAAAGATCTCGAAATTTGAGATATCTAGATTTTCAGAATTACAAAAATCATGTTTATTAGATTTTTTTTTTTGGAATTTCAGATTTATTCGATTTTCAAATATTTCCAGATTTCTGAATTCCTAGATATTCATAGTTTCTGAAAATTTTTTAGTTTTTCGCCAATTTATCATTTTTCACCCAATTTTTGGATTTATTGGATTTTCAATTTTTGATATTTTGAAAATTCTCAAATTTGGATTTTTTGAAATTCTCAAATTGTGAATTTTTGGGATTTCTAGGCTAAAATATAGGGTGTCGGCCATTTTCAGCCATTTTAAGCCATTTTCAGCAATTTTTAAGTATTTTAAAGCCATTTTAGGCTGTTTTTAGGCTTATTTAAGCCATTTTAAAGCTATTTTCAGCTACTTTTAGGCTATTTTCGGATATTTCCAGCCATTATCAGCCATTTAAAAGCCATTTTTAAAGCTATTTTTAGCCAATTTTAAGTTATTTTCAGCTATTCCTAGGCTATTTTAAGCCATTTTAAAACTATTTTCAAGCCATTTCTAGGTATTTTTTGAGCCATTTTCAGCTATTTTCAGCTATTTCAAAGCCATTTTCAAAATATTTAAAGCCATTTTCAGCTATTTCTAGATATTTCTAGGTATTTTTCAGCTACTTTTAGGCTATTTTCAGTCACTTGAAAGCTATTTTCATGACATTTCCAGTTCGTTTTGAGCCATTTTCAGAAATTTTCAAGCAATTTTTAATTATTTTTCAGCTATTTTAAAGCTATTTCCAGCTATTTTAAAGACATTTTTAGCTATTTCCAGCCATTATCAGCCATTTAAAAGCCATTTTTAAAGCTATTTTTAGCCAATTTAAAGTAATTTTCAGCTATTTCTGGGCTATTTTAAGCTATTTTAAAACTGTTTTTAAGCCATTTCTAAGTATTTTTGAGCCATTTTTAGGTATTTTTGAGCAATTTAATGCTATTTTACATGGATTTTATAATTTTCACAATTCTAGGTTTTTCAGAATTCAAGACTTCCAAAGATCTCGAAATTTGAGATATCCAGATTTTCAGAATTACAAAAATCATGTTTATTAGATTTTTTTTGGAATTTCAGATTTTATTCGATTTTCAAATATTTCCAGATTTCTGAATTCCTAGATTTTCATAGTTTCTGAAAATTTATTAGTTTTTCCCCAATTTTTCATTTTTCACCCAATTTTTAGATTTATTGGATTTTCAACATTTTTGATATTTTGAAAATTCTCAAATGTTGGATTTCTGGGATTTCTAGGCTAAAATATAGGGTGTCGGCCATTTTCAGCCATTTTAAAGATATTTTCAGCTATTTTTAGCTAGTTCAAAGCCATTTTTAAGCTATTTCAAAGCTATTTTTTAAGCTATTTCTAGGTCCTTTCAGCTATTCTCAACCCATTTCAAGCCATTTCTAGGTATTTATGAGCAGTTTAATGCTATTTTCAGTCAAAATACACACCTCCTGTATCTGATCGACATGCTTCACACCACACTCTTGCATCTTTTTCCCCACATTATTCAGAGTTTTGGCGATGATAAACTCGATATCGCCAACTGCGATCAGCAACTTTTTCGTCGTGATTTCCTGGCCTCCTTTTTTGGGCTTCTCATCGAGCACCAACGCTTGCGGTCGTTGACGGGTGAACAGCCGATCGAAGCAGATCTTAATCGATGTGATCAGATGGACGAACAGGTCGATGATGGTGTCACGGAAGCGATCGCGAGAGAATAGGCACGCTTCGCCCGGGTAGCCGGTGGTGGAGAGCGCGTCTCGGGTACGTGACAGGCATTCGCAGATCTGCAAATTTTGAGGTCAATTTTTGGAGGAAAAGGGGCGAAAATCAGCCATTTTTGAGTCAAAAATCGGTAAATTTGAGGGCAAAAATCAGTCAATTTTTGAGCCAAAATGGACCATTCCTGAGCCGAAATCCATTAATTTTAATCCGCCGAAATCCGGTCGATTTTCAGTCGAAATTGGTTATTTTCAAGCGAAAATCCCCATTTTTAGGCTGAAAATCGGTAATATATAAGCTAAAAATGACCAATTCCAAGCTAGAATATGGATTACTGTAGCTCTCAAACTTCCATGAAAAATGATCGAAAATGGCACAACACGAGAGGCAATGATCACTAGCTAGAACAGGGATTACTGTAGCTAGAATTGGGATTACTGTAGGGATATCACTGTAATCGATCAATTTTAATTCAAAATCGACTATTTTTAAACCAGAATCAGCTTATTTTAATTGATCATTTTGGGAGCGTAAATCAGTCAATCTTAGGGCGAAAATCAGCCATTTTTGAGTCAAAAATCGGTAAATTTGAGGGCAAAAATTTTGACAAAAAAAATCGGACTTTTTAACCCAAAATTGGCTATTTTTGAGCAGAAAATGAGCAATTTTAAGCTGAAATCAGTCGATTTTAAGCCAAAAATCGGTGATTTTTGAGCTAAAATGGACGATTTTTTTGGTCTAAAACTCAGACAATTTTCATTCGAAATAGGTAGTTTTCAGCTAAAATTTGCCATTTTTGGTACCGAAAATTCGGAAATTGAAGGCGAAATTTGCCATTTTCTAGCCGAAATTGGCTCATTTTTTAAGCGAAAAATCGGTTATTTTCAAGCTAAAATCAGTGAATTTTCAGCCAAAATTAATAATTTCAAGTGCTAAAAAAACCGGTTTTTGACTAAAAATCGACCATTTTCAGTCAAACAACTGTCGTTGTCTAGAGCTGGAATTACTGTAGCTAGATTATAGATCACTGTAGCTAAGATAGGTTTCTTTGAATTTTGGAATACTTTAGCTCTTAAAATTCCATGAAAAATGACCGAAAATGACCCAACACGAGAGGCAATGATCACTAGCTAGAACAGGGATTACTGTAGCTAGAATTGGGATTACTGTAGCTAGAATTGGGATTACTGTAATCGCTATATTTTAAGCTAAAAAATCGCCATTTTTTTAAAAATTGGTAAATTCTAAGTCACAATCCGATTACTGTAGCTAGAATAGGTTGCTTTCTAAACTTGAAACTTTTGGATTACTGTAGCTCTCGAAAATCCATGAAAAATGACCGAAATAGACCCAATACGAGGCAATGATCACTAGCTAGAACATGGATTACTGTAGCTAGAATTGGAATCGCTGTAATCGCTAAATTGCAAGCCGAATTCGGTCATTTTAAAAGCCAAAATGCCATTTTTTAAGCCGAAATAGGCAAATTTAAAGCTAAAATCTGCTAATTTTAAACCAAAATCGGTATGTTTTCAGTCGAAATTCGTCAATTTTCAGCTAGAAATCGTTCATTTTCGAGCATAAAATGGCCAAGTTAAAGCCAAAATTGACATTTTTTGAAGCCTGGATCTGTTAGTTTCAGATCAAGCTACATTCATTTTTTCGGGTATCTTAAGGTGCGTAAACAAAAGAATAGATTAGATATTGGAATTGATCTCGTGCGTTTTTCTCTCTAATCGAGTTCGTGCTTGATCGTTATATATATATTCTATCCTATATTCTATACAGTCCGTCGTGTTGTAACGCTCAATGATCTTTTATAAGGATCTGAAAGAATTTCCGATCTCGATCGGTATCAAACTACACAGAGAAGGACAATAGAAGATAGCCGGAAATAGCCCGATTTTCAAAGTCGTTTAGTGTGTGTGTGTGTGTTTTGGACAATTGAAAAATCGGGAATTTCCTGCTAGGGATTTTTCTTATAGGGAAAAACCGAAAATTGCAGATCTCTCGACTTTTAAAGGGGGACTCCGACCAAAAATTTTTATTGCATTAAAATGTGTTAAAAGTTATCTATTTTCCGAATATTATTGCGAAAAAATTCAAAAAAAATCCGAAATCCCCGAAAAACGGCGTTGAAAAGGAAGAAAATTTAAAAAAAGGTGCCGCCGGGGGACGAGGATTTTCAGTGAGAAACCTAGGCCACGGCAGCGGGCGCCTTTCCTACGTGGCAAATTTTCCGGATTTTTTTTCAATTTCAAGTCCGGCAGGTA